TATTAACTTTACTATATATATATATATATATATATATATATATAAGTTTTGTTATATATTTGAAGTCATTGAGTATCTCTTATTATCTCGGAGTTTGAGGTGTTTTGACCTGTAAAGTAATAATCTACTTGTGTACAATGAGCCAATTTCCTATTATATATGGAGGTCACAATTATTTATAACCATCCGATGTGAAATTTGATAGTTTGAGTGTGTCACAAAGTTTGAAAAAATTATCTTTGAACTTTCAGTTTAGTCAATGGAATAAATGTGGCCACCCAATTTCACATCTAATGGTAAAGATTAATCGTGACTGCAAAAAAATAAATAGTCTTCCATATACATTCATCTTTAAAGTCATGTAGAATCTCGACGTCTCTTTTTTGTAGCTGTGTTTGGAGAGTGACGTATATGGACTATTATGGGCTTCTTTTATAATTTTAAAAAGTAGTGGCACACCAATACTTTTCATTTTATGCATTACCCAACATAGTTGGTTACCCTACAAGTACTTATTGTACTTGAAACCTTCACAAGTTGCTCAATCAAGCCTTTTGAAAGAATATAAAAGACATTTTACTTTTCATGCAAGAAAGTCACATAGAAATTACATGTGAAATTGAGCATTGGGGTCTGTTATTAACCACGCTACAAGTATTGAGAAAATTTCTATCCAACTCTAAGCCTCATCCGTATTAGCCTGCTTTGAATGATTGTTACTTTGCACAGGTTCTTTAGAACTCACATAGGCTGGCTGGATTGGTCAATGTTTGGAATTGGATCACTGATTAGGTCTGGATTGACAGATTCTCTAGTCTGTGAATCTTTAAAAACATGTAAATAATATTTTAAATTGGAAAAAAAATATATAAAAAGGAGAGAGTAGTGCATGATTCCGCCTGTTCAGATTGCCAAATAACTGAAAGACTTGCTTGGTTCTTAGACAAAATTGAGCAAGTCTGTCAAAATCAGACAGATTCCTAGTGTCGGCTAATTAAGAACTGGGTCAGTCCCCATTGATTGTTGATCCATATTGGCAAATCCTCAATCCAGATCAGCATAACTGGTTCAGTCCCCATTGATTGCTGATCCATATATTGGCAAATTCTAAATCCAAATCAGCATTTTTTCGATCATTAAAAGTTAAAATCAACAAAAAATATCCAAGAGCATCCGGTTTGTCAAATTTCTCGAATCCTTATTAGAAATTTTGACAACATTTCAGAAAATTTTAATGGCACCAAAATAGTTGAATGGCCTACACGCATACATTAGCAGTTACCCACGCATCTCCCTTAAGACAAATGGGCACATTGTAAATTTTTAGTCAAAAACAAAAAATGAAGCCAAATGAACACACCGATTTTCAGCCGAAACTATGCAAAATTTGTGCCGACTTCAGCAAGTCTTCTGTCTTTTAATGGAGAGTACAAAGCAAGAGTTGAGACATTACGACTTCAGCAAGTCCTTTGTCTTTTAATGGAAAGTAAAAAGCAAGAGTACACCTAACGCGCCTCAAAAGTCTTGTTTTGTTTACTTCTCTAGGGAAAAACATCAAAATCAAGGCTTTAACAGTGAATGTTTTTTTTTATAGGATGCACACACCATATTTGTTGAAATCATATAAGGGTTTGTTTAGAGTTAACAATCCATCTAAATACAAAGGTTAATGTAAAAATAAGCAGTGATGGATGTATTTATTGAAAAATAATAATTTTTTGTTTAAAAATTATTTAATAGGGAATTAAATAATAAAATTAGTACAAATTAAAATATTTTACAAAAATATAATGGTATTATGAAATTTAGTGTCTCAAAATTTTATTTATAGAGTACATTTATCTTTTAATAAGAATTTTAATTTTATCCCTTAAAAAAATTGCAAAAGTACTCATTTTCTTTTAATGATGTTTACACAAATATACTTTTTTGATGAGCAAGATATCATTTAACAATAATTTTTAAAAAAATATGTTTCATATTTAGTAAATCCACCAATCACAACTCACTATAATATTAACTTTTATAATTTGAAAGGTGGTGAATTATAGATTATCCCACTATATAGAAACTCTAACTAATGCTGTCGTTAATTAGGTAGGGAAATATGTGAATTTGGCAAAAAAAAAAAAATGAAAAAGTCAAGTTGGAGTGTGCGGGGAAAGAGAGAGAGAGCGAGAGAGCTGTTCACAAATGAGTTGATATAATGTTTTTTTTTTTTGAACGGTAAAGATATATTGCTTATTTCATGGGTCATGTAGAGACCTAATTGAGTTTATTTGGCAAAGGCCCATGGAGAGAGAAGTTTAAGAGAGATTAATATCTGGGCATGAACCCCATTACGTGTGCCTAATTTAGGCATGGGTGGGGTTTGTATAGAGCCGAGGCTCTGAACAATCAAAATACAGCACACCTTCAAATAGTATCGAGAAATGTAATTTTAATACTGAAAAACTATATGATAATCTTAAAAAAATAATTCATCTTTAATTACAAAATTTAAAGCCTAAAAAATAGTGTGGATCGAGCACATCTATTACGAGATGTCCTGTTTTCAAAACTTGAAATCCATTGTTTTTCTCATGCCCATACATCTTGATATGGAGATGATCAATTTGAAGCTATTTATCTTGATATGGAGATGATCAATTTGAAGCTATTTGAGCATCCAAACAACATTTTCTAATGAAAATTTTGAGGTGGGCTCTGATTTGATTTGATTGTTTAGAGCCTATATACAATTTACCCTTAAGGCATAGATATGGGCATGCTCCATAACAAACCGCGTGAGCAATCACTACCAAAGCGTGTCCCCCATGACCCATCACACCTGTTTTATAACCCTTTTTCCATTAGACAACTCACACACATCACCTCTCAAACCTAAAACACAAACAACTACCAAGAAAAAGACTAAACAACATGAAAAACCAAGCAAAATGTGTAGGGAAATAGAGAAGCAAATGAGATAAATTTAACAAAATGGAAGCTTCTCTCACAATACACCGCGTACCCAAGTCCCACCTTCACTCTCACCATCTCAATTGCACCATAAAAACCCTCTCTCTCTCTCTACAACTCCCTCAACTCCTCATCCCCTTCTTCCCCCATCACCGCCTGAATCTCTCTGAAACTCTTAGCACCATCTCTCTCTCTCTACAATGGCCAGGAAGAAATGTGCATTGGCTACTAGAGCTTGGAGTATGATACGTTTGGCCTTGTGGGCTAGGAAAGGTGGCATCTTCAAGAGGGGATTCTTGGGGGGCCTCAAGTTCTTAAGCAGAGGCCCGCGCCACTCGGAAATCACTTCTTATCGCCAGTTCTCGTTCGGCGATAGCCCAACTGTCCCATTAAACCTTCCAAGATCCATCGTCAAGTTTCCATGCATGAACCCATCCATCACATTGGACAATGACTACAATGATGACTGCGATACCGACATCGACAGTGATGGTGTCGATGATCGCTATGGTGCTGGTTATGATCATGACCATGGTGATGATCATTGCCATCAGGGTTCATATTATGATGGTGATGGTGATGGTGATGCGTCTGTTGATTCAAAGGCAGATGAGTTTATTGAGAGGTTTTATCAACAAATGAGATTGCAGCGCCAACTCTCATGTTTAAAATATAATGAGATGCTTCATAGAGGGGTTTCTTGAGGGAATTTTCTCTCTTTTTTTTGTTGATAATTTTGTCAATTATATTGTGCATATATTATTATTATTTTGGGAGGTGGTTGGGGGGTTGTTGGGAAATTTTTGGCGAATGTGGATTGATCATGATTATATTCTTTCATTCTTTGTAGGTGGCTCAGTGAATAATAAGATCTTTTGAGTAATTGTTATTGCATTTTTATTAATATTTCTTCATTTCTTCTTACCATCCTTTCCTGTCGTTTATTTGGCCATCATATATATGCATAGTTCATTTCAAAAGACTTGGGTTTAGGAGGGAGAGAGGCTCGAGTATGAGGTGGGAGTGAAGAGAGTGAAAGATGAGGGTTAAGTTGGGTGGTTTCAGTGGGAAGAGAAAAGGGCGAGCAGGAGCCCGCCCTGTCATTGTTTTGGAGGATGATTTCACGAGAGGCATTCTTCACGAAGTTCAAGATATTAAGGGATAGTATGTGAAATCTGATGATTTCACTAAAGGCATTTTTCACGAAGTTCGAGATATTAAGAGATAGTATATGAAATCTGACAATCTGAAGTGTGACATAAAGTTTATAAATTTTTATTTTTGAATTTAAAGCCTTATTTTCTATTTTGGACTTTTGGCCTAGTTAATGGACGGGATCCAACTTCACATATAATGGCCACATTATAACTTCCTTACCAAATATAAATAAATGATTTCATTGTATACCTTTCCCTCAATTAGTTACAAGGTTGAAGATGGTGGGAAGTTTATCCATTCACTATGTCTATACCATCAGTTGGGAAATGAGCCCCGTATCCAATTGCAAGGAAATGAATCCGCACTTAGTCAAGGAGAAGAGGCCTCCAACAGGGGCATCGGTTTGGTTTAGCTGTGTCGGGGAACAGTGAGTTAAGATTTTCAACCCAAAATTCGATGAGTATTTGATTTTTACGGCTGCAATTGTGAATCTAGAAAGTGAAATTTAGGAAATTACTTATGAGAGATGAATAATTTAATACCTATGCATATCTTTTTATTTATCTAAATACCCATAAAAAAAAATTTAATCTCGAGTTGGAATGGTTGCAAATTGACGGAATGTTACGCATTGCAAATTGGATAAAGTTATACTAGGTGAAGTAAGAACAACTTATCAAAGGGATAAACTTATTTGTGAAAATATACATAAGTTCAACTCACACAATTTTATGATAGACACTAGCAAACAATAGATCACTCATTGCCATTGCCATAATCAACTTTATCGAAATAGTGAATTATCAGTGATAATAAGTACTTTCACATATGCAGTTAGCATGTAATTTACTCAAGGTAGAGAGATATACGTTTTGTAATATTGTCCCAAAAAAAAGAGAGAGAGATCATATGCCTCTTGTTTCCCATTAGAGAGTAATTAACAATCATTTCACTCATCCATCCTTGTATGTGTGTATTGTTAAGGAAAGTGCACATTGTCTATAGGGTTAATGAAGTTATAGAAATTTGTATATATTTTTTGTGTAGAATATTTTTTTCCTCTATTGCATATCCTTATTAAGAAGGTGGTTCATTGCATACAGTCATTTCTATAATAGTACACAGTTTTGTAACCCTAAAAATTGGCAGTCTTTTACCAATCTTCATCAGCCCTGAGGAGCTCTGCAATACAATGCAATTCAGTATGTTATCAAAATGCATTAGGTCATTAGAGAGAGAGAGAGGGGTCAAAATGAATACACTAAAAAGGAAGATGACAACTTGAAAATAAATAAATAATTGCAAAAAGTTAGGGAGGTCAATTCTGCCCAAGGAGACTACATGAAATCTATATATTTTTCTTTTCTAGAGAAAGTCATATACCACCTAAATCTATGGTGTGATAATAAACAGGACCAATAATTTGTATGAAGTTTTTGTGTTTTCTTCTCTCCATAGGAAGATACATGCCACCAAAACCCATTGTGAGATAACAAATGATGTTGCAAATCCCCGACTGATTTCTGAGTATTATTTTTCCATCAACCAATTTGGTTTTCAGTGAAGTAGCTTGCTCTCCCTTGCTCTTTGTATTCAGCTCTCCAATTTGGATCCCTTTTTTTTATGCTTAAAAATTGGTGCAGATCTGATGAACTGTGAAGAAGTAAAATGACAGATGCAAAACAGAAGTTCAAACAATGCCAATTTTTGAATTTAAAGTTTCTTTTCTATGTCTGTGATCTATCGTCATGATTGCCAGCCCCTCAAGTTTTGGTTACCAAATCCATTTCTAAAATTGATTTTGGAGAGCGGATTTGGCTAACACACCATAACCTCAGCCAAGAGAACAACATAAATTTGTACCTAGTCAAAAGGATAAAAAATATTAATATGCCACCATAATTTCAAAGGCTTAGCATATTATATAAGCTCAGGCTAGGTACGCTACTATGACCCTGGAGGTCAGGGCATTCTATTGTTGATATAATAGGATTGTTCCTATACATGGCAAAATATCAAAATGAATCTAGGGAGAGGGGGCTTAGCCTTCACACAGTTAGCTGCCATTTTAGAAGTATGGGCCTGGGCCTCCTACACATCCATTTTGGAGGAATTGTCCTGCAAGTGGTGCTGAATTCAAATGCAGACCCATCCTCAAATAGATTGGGCCTATCTCTAATTATGGATTCTGAAGATCAGCAATAAGTACTGTCAAAAAATGAGGTGTGTTACGTTAGGTAGATAGCCAGTATAAAACCTTGACATATCTTATCATAAATCCTGAAATCTATGAGACTAGACTTTCACAAATCTTTATGCTCAAAAGGCCAATTGTGTGAACTATAAAGTTTCTCCCAAAATACCCAAACAAGCCAACCTAGTTTCTTCTTATTTAAAAAAGAACACATGCCTCATGCTAACCACTTACTAATACCATGAAGTATGCTAGTGTGACTTAGTTTCTCTAGAATTGATCAAATCGAACTCCAACTTCGAAAGAAGATAAATCATAACTGAACAATTTAAAGAGGATTAAAAAAAGGGGAAAAGAAGATGCAGAAACTCGTTACAGAGTCTTAAATATGATGAAATAAACAACATGTGAAATCTAAACAGTATTGAAGAGTGAAAGTTAAGAAAGGCTACAAAAAGAAGAGGTTGTTCTTGTGGCATTCCTGGTTCCAAATATCAAAGGAAGTGATGAGGATGAAAGGGGAGAGTTCTTAAGTAATTTATAAGACACCAAAGTTCTCAACAAGTTAATAATTTACTCGGTAATGTACATTAACTATATTATATTACATTAGAAAGCATTTTCATAAATTTCTCAAATTATTATATACCATCCATAAAAGGAACATCCAATAATTTATGGTAAGATACATAAAAATCCAACCAACAAAATAAATTTCGTAAGATTACATAGGATTAGCCTTTTGGAGAAAATGAAGTTTCTATAGGGCCTAGGCTTTATGAAAACAAAATAAAACCTCACCTCAAATCTTTATCTGGAAAGTATTTTGGGCATTGAAAGTGTTCATGACAACTCTACAATCAATTTCCAACACCGACAATATATGGGTGCAGTTGGCATACGGATGCATCCGTAGCTGTAGA